ATTATTAAATTCAAATGATAAAGAAAGAAAGATTTGTATGATCTTTAAATTCAAAACAAATTTGGTATGGAAGAGAGATTAATGACATGTACAGTGAAAAATTAATTATGGCACTTTCCAAGTCAATTTTGTTTCCAAAATATTTTTATTCGAACCCAAATACAAATATATTATATTGTGAGATGTATAATTTCAAAGCGTGCAAGTTTGCCACTTAAGTTTAGCAAATTTTGAATTAATATAGAGGGGGATTGGACTTGTGTCATCAGTCATCTGATAACTCTATAAAATTTCTATTAATAGAATAAATCTAGTTCAAAATTCATAATATCGATAAACTTTTTTAAGGCCCTTTTAAATGTTTATTACTATATTTTTGAAAACTTTTGCATAAATGCGGCATTCAAAATTATAATATACGTAAATGAGTCATAAACCAAAAATAATGCAACTATGAAATCAATGATAAAAATAAACCTTCAATCAATCATTTATAAACTGCAAAAAATATTATAACTACCATCAATAAAAACTCTACAAACATATAAATAAAAAATTTGCTCATAATTGTGTAAATTTTACAACTTTTAATTTTAAAAACGTTAGCTGGGGTCATTATCTCCAGTCGGCACTAGGCCAAGTCCAACTCTAACGGACGTATGGGTAGGTCCAAAGAGCCCAACCCTAAGAGGCCCAATTAAACCGTTTAGAAGTGAAATAACATTTGTAACATGACACATGAAAGTTGAAACCCTTATCGAGGACAAAAATAAAGGACAATATACTTTGAAGTGGAGAAACCAAAACCATTAATAAAAAGGATCTTAAATTATTAATATAAACTAGTACGTAGTGCAGCAGTAATAGAATGATTAAATTACATTGGTGAGTGAATATGAAGTACTTTAAAAATATTACACCCCAAAAATATTCGATCAAAAAAAAAAAAAAAGCATGGCCCAAGTACAAATTGAAGCCCAAAAGACCCATATGGTCCAAATCGCTAGGATTGTAAACGAGTCGAGTTCGAGTTGGTGCTTGAGCTTGAGTTATAGTTCTTAACAAACTGAGTCAGTAATTCTATGGAGCAATCGGATGGCTCCGTTATGGAGCCATCCATATTTTTATATACTGACACATGTCCAATGTGCATTAATTGCAGGACACGTGTCAATACATCATTTGTGACTAACAATGGATGGCTCCATAAGCCGAGCCATCCGATGGCTCCATAGCAAAACCGCTGAGTCGAACTCGACTTGTTAACTAAACGAGTCAGTAATTGAAATTTGAGTTCGGCTAGTTTATGAGTATTAACAAAACGAACTCGAGTCTTAGCTAGCCAAACTCGAGCTTTAACAAGCATAATTATATAAAATATTTTAAAAAAAAATCGATCATAATTAGTTGAGTCTTGTCGAGGTTACGAGCGACTCGTTTCAATCAACAGCTCTACCAAATATTCATCGGTTACATTGAAACAATAATAAACTTCTAATCTTGCTAATCCACTTTTAATCCTAAAAGATAATATCAACCTAAAAAAAAAAAAAAAATTGGAGTAATAGGAATAATAAGTATACGAATAAATAATTATTTTAACGTCGGGAATCGATCGCATTTATTCAAGAAAACTATCGCGAGCTCGTCTTCGTCATTATGTTAACTTATTTTCTCCACAAATGCACATATCTTTGTTAGGAAATATTTTACTTAAAAAATAATATGAAACAAGTGATATTTAAAAGTTTAAATATACATTTCTACTTACAATTAGTAGCGGTTAAATGAAATGAGTTACTCGTAAGCTCTGCGTGGTTTGAGCTTGAGCTCATTTAAAATTCGTTTAGTTAATGACCTGGACTCGCTTTAGCTCGAAAAGTAGAACCTAAATACAATTTTATAAAGCTTGACTCGTCAAGGTTCGATTTCGATTATTGATTTGTTATTTAAAGGTTTGAGCTCGAGTTCAAGTATCATGGTCTCGACTCGGTTCAACTTATTTACATACACCATTACAAATTATGATGGGTCAACCATAGAGCTGTAATCTCATTGTGCTCAAACTCGATTGCAAGTCCTTAACGAGTCGAGTCGAGCTCGACTTGTTAACTAAACGAGTCAGTAATCGAATTTGAGTTCAACTCGTTTTATGAGTATTAATAAATCGAGCTCGAGCCTTAACTAGTCATACTCCAGCTTTAACAATTTGGAATATAGAAAATTATATAAAAATTTAAACTCTCAGCCATTAACCAGACAAACCTTGTTGAGCTTACGAGCGACTCGTTTTAATTACATTGGAAAATAAAAAATAAATAAAATTAAAAAAATAGTCAAAGATTCTACTTCCCACCTCAAACTCAAATTGCAACTCCAGCAACTCTCCCTCGATTCAAG